GTGTTTTTTTTCTTTTTTCTTTTTTTTTTTTTTTTTTTGAGACTGAGTTTCGCTCTTGTTACCCAGGTTGGAGTGCAATGGTGTGATCTGGGCTCACCGCAACTTCTGCCTCCTGGGTTCAGGCAATTCTCCTGCCTCAGCCTCCTGAGTAGCTGGGATTACAAGCACACACCACCATGCCTAGCTGATTTTTTGTATTTTTAGTAGAGACGGGGTTTCACCATGTTGACCAGGATGGTCTCGATCTCTTGACCTTGTGATCCACCCGCCTCGGCCTCCCAAAGTGCTGGGATTACAGGCGTGAGCCACCGCACCCGGCCGTCTTATGGTTTCTTATGTTGCTGTTGAGAAGTATGAAGATTCTGGTTCTTAGTCTTTTTTCGTGACTTTTTTTTTTTCATTCTAGAAGCTTATAGGAACTTCTTTTTGTTCAAAGTGTTCTATCACTTCACTTCATGAAAGGAGGTATAGGTCTATTTTCACTCACTAATTTGATAACTTATGTCCTTCCATTCTGGGAAATATTCTTAAATTGTGTCTTTGAACTTTTCCCCTATTTTCTCTGGTCTCTCTTTCTGAACATCCTATTATTCAGATAATAGATCTCCTGGACTAGTCCTCTCTAATTTTTTTTTCCATCTTGTAATTTTGTTCTGCTTTCAAAATAATGATTTGCCTTAACTTTTTAAGAATATTGATGATAGAATCTGCCACCTCCTTCACCCTGCTCTAAGTTTGTTTCCTCCAAATGACTATTTTGGGCTTTCTTATATCAAACCTTTCCTGAGATGTTTAAGAATTCTACTCATATTTAAGGACAAATATCCTTTAAAAATCTCAATAAGCTCTGTTAATTGTGGGCTTAACTAAAGGATGATCTGATTGCCTGTTGAATTGGGGAACCTCTAATGTCAGTTTCTTTTCTTCTCAGACAAGTCAGATTCACCAAAACATTCTTCCCAATATCCTGCCTGGAAGGCGAATACTCTTCTTGCCCGCATTCTTGGAGCTGAGTAAGGGGAAAGAGGTCATGGATCTCAGCAAAAATATGCATATGTTTAATTAATTGATCTATTATCAGTTCAGTAATTCTACCCTCAGCTGGTATTCCCTACTCCAGAGACCCTCTGTTTCACTCTTCAGAGACTACATTTCAAGTTTTTCTTTGGAGTTAAGGATGAGGAATGTCACCTGGCTGCATGACCAGGTATGAAAGATGATCTGGGTTTCTGACTGCCTTTTAAATAGACTTTCAGTCTTTCTTACTTCAGATATATGCCTTTTACTCTCAGTCCAAAAAGGTATGTGGACCAATTCCTCAACATATAGAGGAATTTAAATTAGATTGGCTCTTGGCTTTTCCCATGTGTATTAGTTCGTGCTCATGTTGCTGTGAAGAGCTGCTTGGGACTGGGTGATTTATAAAGGAAAGGGATTTAATTGACTCAGTTCCACAGGGCTGAGGAGGCCTCAGGAAACACGATCACGGTGGTAAGGCAACTCCTCACAGGACAGCATGAAAGAGAATGAGTGCCCAGAGAAGGGGAAAATCCCTTATAAAACCATTGGATCTCATGAGAACTCACTCACTATCACGAGAACAGGACCAGGGAACCATATCATGATTCAATTATCTCCACCTGGCCCCTCCAATGACACGTGGGAACTACAATTCAAGATGAGCTTTAGGTGGGGACACAGCCAAACCATATCACCATGGCTCTTGTCAGAGTCAGTTTTCTCAGGTCTCCTAAGTCATTAAATCCTCAATCTCCTACTTCCCTGTTATTGTGCTGGTTTCTTCTCCTGTTCTTTGTGTGTGTGTGTGTGTGTGTGTGTGTGTGTGTGTATTCAATCTTTTAAAAAACCATTTATTGTTTTGGTGAAGTTTGGAAAGGAAGAAAAAATACATGCATATGCTTATTCTGCTATCTTTCCTAGGGATCCTTGCTTTCTTCAACCTCAGTTGGATATCTCTTTTGAGCTCACGTTCGTTCTCCAGAGTGGTGGGAAAGTACTCACTGTCAATCAGGATTTCCTCAGTCACTTCAGGGCTCCCTCCTCCTTGGATGTGCCTCTAAGTTAGAGATTGTTTATATAAAACCATAGGGTCAGCTGAGGATGGGAGTGGGTGCCATGATGATATCTTTGGTTGTCATCATGCAGCCATAATGGTATCCATGGCAACTCATCATTCATCTGGTCCCTGGTTTGTAGTCTATGGAGATCATGTGTGCAATCTTTCCATCTCAACTCTAGGTCTTCTCCAGGATTTCAGGCTCTCAGCAGCATGCTGATGAGCAGACTTAATGAGGCGGCCTCATGCTGGCCTGCCCAGGTGATCCATGTGGCTGTCTCTCCTTCTGCTCCTGCCCCATGCCAAGCATGAGATAATTTTGCAAACTTGTCTACTCTTGGCTCCCAAATCTCTCTGGAGACATACTTTTTCTCTCCAAGGGGGATTCAGTCTACTTAAGTTTATTATTAGTGCATAAATATTATGCCTTATGTCCTTCAGGGTTTTAGATTCTGAGGTATAAAAGCTCAGGTTATGGTTTCTCAAAAATCATTTCTCCCAAACGATTATTTCTGCCAGGAATTTCTAAAGCCCATTTAGATACTCAAAAGTCAACCGATCATTTTTGCTCTGATTTTCTGCAATGATATTCTGAAGCCTTGAAGGTGGAATGCTCTAGCTACAGCTTGGGTGGGCGTAGGGTGTTGAGGGAGAGGAAGTAACTGCATCCCTATTCGGTCTTTATGATAGACTCTTTCTCTGTTTCTTGTCTTTCCATGTCGGTAAGTTTGGCCTTTTCACCTGGATATTAGGTTTGAGGGCAGAACTTCACATAGATTTTTAAGGAAAGGGCAACTTTTTTTTTTTTTGGAGATGGAGTTTCGCTCTTGTTACCCAGGCTGGAGTGCAATGGCGCGATCTCGGCTCACCAGCAACCTCTGCTTCCTGGGTTCAGGCAATTCTCCTGCCTCAGCCTCCTGAGTAGCTGGGATTACAGGCACACACCACCATGCCCAGCTAATTTTTTGTATTTTGAGTAGAGACGGGGTTTCACCATGTTGACCAGGATGGTCTCGATCTCTTGACGTCGTGATCCACTTGCCTCGGCCTCCCAAAGCACTGGGATTACAGATGTGAGCCACCGCGCCCAGCAGGGCAACTTTTAAAAATTTTATTTTTATAAGTGTGTTCAGCATACAGTAATTACTTCTTGTTGAAGACCTTTAGCTTAGTATCTTCATGGTACATAACTGTGCCTGGAATGTAGTAAACATTAAAAAAATTGAAATTTGCTAAATAAACCAGGAATAGTTCCCAAAGTGAAAATAAACATTTACAATCTTACCCTTATACAATTTTTTTTTTTTTTTTTGAGACAGAGTGTCGCTCTTGTTACCCAGGCTGGAGTGCAATGGCACGATCTCGGCTCACCGCAACCTCCGCCTCCTGGGTTCAGGCAATTCTCCTGCCTCAGCCTCCTGAGTAGCTGGGACTACAGGCACGTGCCACCATGCCCAGCTAATTTTTTTGCATTTTTAGTAGAGACAGGCTTTCACCATGTTGACCAGGATGGTCTCGATCTCTTGACCTCGTGATCCACCCGCCTCGGCCTCCCAAAGTGCTGGGATTACAGGCTTGAGCCACCGCGCCCGACCACAATTTTTTTTTAAAAGGGAAACATTTTCTTTACCTGGGAAACAATAATTAAATGAATGTAAAAGAGATGTTAAAAAAATTTAAAAGGACCTTTACATATGGTCCTTTTAAATAATCTTCCTTTTCTTACTTGACGTTTGAGTTTCAGGCTCAAGTTGACAGGTCTGTTTCAGAAGCCTAGCTCCTGAGGCCCAAGAGGACCAGTTTTCCTTGCTATTGCCTCTTGCCCCAGTGCCAGGAATGCTAGTGTGTTCTGTTTTTAGAAACTGCAGCTGCTGGTTTCTAGCCTGTTCTAGCCACTCCAGACCAGTAACAATTGCTGGGGGTGGGGATGGGGAGGCAGATGTAGGGAAAGTCCATGGTCAGGAAAACTCCTTGGTAACTAGGAGGTAAACACATCAGTTAGATACAGAGACATTTTCAGGATGTATTCTGAGAAGGGGGAGGGATAGAGAAAGAAATTCATTCTGGGATACAAAGGCAGGGTAGGCTTTGTGGTTCTTCATGATGTGTTGAGCATGAATTAATTTCATACCATGCTATTGTTGAAAATTCTTCAGCTCAAATTAACAAATGTCTTTTGAATTTCAGTAGAAATGCCAATAACTGTGTTAGCTCCCAGGGATCCAATACAAATCAAGTAAGACACAGCACTTGTTTTCAGTAGAATTTGCCACAAATTTTCTCATTGGTTTGCTCATAAGTCACCAGCTATGATTCTCTCCGATTTGCAACTTTTAGATCACTGTTCATTTCCTATGGGGCAGAATGTAAATGCTTTTGCCTGACAGCCAAGGCTCTTCACGATCCAATTTCAGCTGATTTTCCCAATGCCGTCTGCTTGTGCTCAGCTTCTTTGTATGTGGTGAATAGGTCATGCCACCATATTCTTTTATAATTCTGTTCCTATGGCTGGAACTCCTAAGTTACTCCTTAGCATTCAGCTGAAATGTCACCTTCCCTATGACACATCCTGTGACTTCTTCCCCTTTGCCCCAGGCCAACTTAGGGATCCGCCTCCCATACTTCATTTGCACCTATCACTATTATATTCCTCAGTGATATAATATTGGAATTGTTTGTATCTTTATTTTATTTTTTTTTCCTACAGTGGGAAACTTCCTGAAGGATGAAACTGTGTCCTTTTCATTTTTATATCCTTAGCACATGCCATACTCCTGGTACACAGTAGGCACAGAATTAGTAAGAGCTTGGTGAATAAATGAAGTAAATTTATTCATTGTTCTTATTTTTGATATATCAAGTGCCAACTTCTAAAATTTCAGTGTTCTTTTTCTCCATTCTTACTCATCGATTCTCTTTCCAGAATGCTGTCAGAAGGGTATCTCAGTGGACTTGAGTACTGGAATGACATCCACTGGAGTTGTGCCTCTTATAATGAGCAGGTGGCTGAGGAAAAGGAAGAGGAATCAAATGCTGTTGCTACTGTTTCCTATTCCTCTGTGGATGAAACACAAGTCAGAAGTCTCTACGTGAGCTGCAAATCATCTGGCAAGTTTATCTCTTCAGTGCATTCAAGAGAGAGCCAACATAGCAGAAGTCAGAGAGTCACAGTGCTGCAGACAAACCCCAATCCTGTGTTTGAAAGCCCAAACTTGGCTGCAGTAGAAATATGTAGAGATGCCAGCAGAGAGACCTACTTGGTTCCATCTTCTTGCAAAAGTATTTGCAAGAATTACAATGACTTACATATTGCAGGGGGCCAAGTGATGGCCATTAATTCAGTGACAACAGATTTTCCCTCTGAGAGCAGTTTCGAATATGGCCCTTTGCTGAAGTCCTCTGAGATTCTTTTACCCATGGAGGATTCCATTTCTACGCAGCCCAGTGACTTTCCCCAAAAACCTATCCAGCGGTACTCATCCTACTGGAGAATAACAAGCATCAAAGAGAAAAGCAGCTTGCAAATGCAGAAGCCTATGTCTAATGCAGTGCTGAATGAGTACCTGGAGGAGAAGGTTGAGGAGTTATATAAACAATACATTATGGACACCGTGTTTCATGACAGTTCTCCTACCCAGATTCTGGCGTCTGAACTCATCATGACAAGTGTAGACCAAATCAGTCTTCAAGTGTCTAGAGAGAAGAATCTGGAGACCTCAAAAGCCAGAGATATAGTGTTTGGCCGTCTATTGCAAATGATGTCAACTGAAATCAGCACTCCTAGTCTCCGTATTTCTCAGTATAGCAATGTAAATCCATAGAGAGGATGCTTCCATTACTGTGTCTCATTTACTTAAACAGGAAGCAACACTTTACTCATTTATTCTGAGGATGTGCAGGAGAGAGTGATGAAGGGGAGTTAAGGGCTAGAGAAGTAAAGGTCAGCTGGAAGTCATGTGTGAATCACGGGGGAATCTCATAATATTACACTTGATAAAGGAATACGGTAAGAGGAGCCATAAGGAATGATTTCAAAGAGAGGTGTGTACAGCAAGGAAGCAAAAATAAAAATGGTCAAGAAAGAAAAGGTGAGTTCATTTGAAGAAACATAGGAATTGAAAAAGAAGACAGCCAAATGAGATGAAACCAAAAAGCCAAAAGGTTTCAGGGTAAAGAGCTAAGAACACGTTTGTTACCCAAGTAAATTCCTCCACCTTGTTTCTTCTTGAGGGAAATGGACTGTAGAAAGCTGCTATATTTGGGTAGAAAGACAGTACCAAACAGTTTTCAAAATATATGTTTATATCTCCATTGTCTATTCTGTATCAGATCCTTTAAAGGTATATTCTTTGTAAATATTAAAACTGTAAGAAATTATAATTGTGTTTTTATTTTTGAATGGTTACTTAGTTACAGACACAGCCACAAAACAGCCCCTCAAATCTCCTACTTCTGTTTCCTGGTAGAGATGAACTTGTCTAAATGAAAAACACCACACAGCACTAAACCATTTAGTATTATTTTGCTGGATATGATTTTCTTGGTATTAAGCTTCAAAAGAAATTATGAGGCCAGGCTCATGCCTGTAATCCCAGCACTTTGGGAGGCTCAGGCAGGTGGATCACCTGAGGTCAGGAGTTCAAGACCAGCCTGGCCAACTTGCTAAAACCCCGTCTCTACTAAAAATACAAAAATCAGCCAGGTGTGGTGGCAGGCACCTGTAATCCCAGCTACCTGGGAGGCTGAGGCAGGAGGATCGCTTGAACCTGTGAGGCAGAGGTTGCAGTGAGCCGAGATGATGTCATTGTACTCCAGTCTAGGTGACAAGAGTGAATCTTCGTCTCAAAGGAAAGAAAGAAAAGAAATTACGAATCTTATTGTTTCCCTTTTGTTCCGCTTCCTTTTCTACATGCCCTCCTGACCTGGAGCCAGGAGGGGGTGTTCCATATCCTTGGAACAAGGTTACAAGCCGTAGGATCCCATGTTTTCAAATTCTGTAAACGCATTCACTAGAATAGTAGCTTCCCGAGGGCTTCACTGCTCTGCATCACGTCTTTCCTCTGGCTCAGGGGTTGCAAACTATGGCCCATTGGCCAGATCTAGCCTGCTGCCTGTTTTTGAACTCCCGCAAACAAAGAATGGTTTTTCCAATTTTCAGATGGTTGGGAAAAAAACCACAAAAGCAAAATAACTACGGTATTTTGTAATGTGTGAAAATTATATAAAATTCGAATTCAGTGTTCGTAAAATAAAGATTTATTGGAACACAGCAGTGTCCATTTATTTATGTGCTGTCTCTGGCTGCTTTCACACTAGAATGGTAGAGTTGAGTAGAAGTGATAGAGAATATGGCTCACCAAAGCCTAAAACCCTTACTGCCTGGCCCTTGACAGAAGTTTGCCAACCCTACCTAACAGAAATGTGTTGTCCATGTAGTGGTTGCTTGGCTTAATTCAGGTTGGCTAGAGAGGTGGACTCTGAGACGGAAATTGGTAAGTTTCTTGAGGAGTGGTCTTGGGAACAACGTCTGTGATGGAGTGAAGGAAGCAGAAGAGATTTCCACAGAGGCCTTCGTCCGTTTCACAGGGAGCCCTGGAGCTAGGGTGACCCTTCAAAATGGATACAAATGGAAACAAGAGGGTCAGGTTTTATACTCCAGCATCTAGCAGGAGCGGGGTGTAACCTTAGCCAAGACAGTTCAGTGGAGGGCAATCCCCAGAGTAGGAATCAACTGTGTCTTTGGCAGCCAGATTCCAAGCAGCTACTGAGGTAATGAGCTCCTCACCCCAAAAGAGCAATCTGGATTGAGCAATCCCCTACATTTCACAGTATTTGTAGAGTGAATGAATATATATTTTTTTGGATATACGTTTTTTCACAATTTATACTGTTGTGTAAGGAAATATGGTTTTGAAATAATTATTTGGAAATGTGTTTCACTGTTTTAAACCTATCACAATAATAACTGCAATGTATTAATTGCTTGCTCTGTGTCTAGCACCATGTTAAGAATTTTACATGAATTGTCTTATATGATTCTTATAGTAACCTTATGAGGGGGAATGTCTATTATTATCCCCATTGTATGGATAAGTCAGCTGGGCTCAGGAAAATTAAATAATTTGTCCAAGGGCACACAGTAGATGGTGGAACTGGATTTGAGTTCAGTTCCATTTAACTTGAAAGTGCTGGTTCTTAACCACTATCACCTGCTCTTTCTGTTCATCACTCTATTTGTCTCATTAAAGATTTTTTCTGCTCCAAGTGGAGTCAACTCATTAATCTCTTATATTATCTCATCTTTTCTTTTTAGCGTTTTGCTTGATAATACTATTTATTTGTATATCCCCCTGCCCAGAACGTGAGCTTTGATTTATCCACACGCTTTTCCACATCCCAAATGTCACTTGCATATAGTAGGCAACGATTTCATATTTGTTAAACGTACGAATACATTTTGGTCATGTTGGCTGTTGCATTTGGTGGTTGAAGTAAAAGACTATCAATATCAAAATCAGATAATTCCGACTAGAAAAAAAGTGGTATTGAGGTTTTCTCAAGGCATAAACTAATGGAATAAATGAGCTTAATTTATTATAGCAGGTTAGTAAATGGTATAATAGAATGTATGGTTATTTTCCTTTGCTTCCCAAGAAATAATTGTTACAAAGTAGACTGGTTCATGTTTTTTCGATGAATATTTATTTGAAGTTGTGTTTTTATTTTGTTTTGTTTTGATTTTTGGGTTGGAGCACTGTGTATTAAGCATATGGAGGGAAGACATATATGTGTGTACACACACAGGAGTAGGCCTCTGCTCTCTGAAAACTTACCATATTGTCAGGGAGACCTGAAAGATAACTAAGGAACAAGTAACAAAGCCATTTATTGGGTAAGAACGTGGCAAAGTGATACAAACAGGAATAAGATGATCGAGTATTACAGCTTTAGTGAGTGCTGAGAAGGAGACAAGGTAGGGAGTTCTAGACAGTGGGAGAGCCCAATGTAGGAAAAGCTTCCAAGGGGGAAGTGATAGTTTAAATAACTCTTGAAGAACAAGATAGGATCTAAGCAAATGGATAGAAGTGTTCGGGCAGAAGTATGAGAGGGTTTAGTGCAACTGGAAACTGCAAATCGATGGCTGTAACTGGAGCTGAATGAATGCATGAATAGGCAGGATAATCATTTTTTAAATTGCTATTGTAACAAATGAATCGACTTCAGTGGCTTAAAACAATATAAATGTCCCATGAATATGCAGTCTACAAAATTCAGATTACAGGAAACTAGTATCAATTTTTTCAACAGGTAAATTGTAAGTAAAAGAAAGAGACGAAGGGGATAGTTGTAGATTTAAAAAGACTTAAAAGGCATATCAGCTTATTTCTAAACGAGCAAGACTGAATTAGAATGTCTAGGGATGCACATTTGGGTGAAATACCATCAAGAAAGACAAGGACATGATTACTTTATAAGTCATAATGGTTACTTTTGATGGGAAGAGGGGACTGTGGTTAGGATGGGACACATGGAGTGATTCTGCAGTGTCTGGCAAATTTCTGTTTTTTTAAAATTTGAATCAGGATCCAATAAAGTTCATATATTGCCATTGGTTAACATGTTTCTCTATCTTTTAACCTACACGTTAAAACTTCATCCTGATTTCTTTGTTTTCCTTACAGTTTATTTGTGAAGAAACTTGGTCCTACGGTTTATTTGTGAAGAAACTGTCCTACAGTTTTCCAGATTTTGCCGATGGTATTCCCAGGGCATTATTTAACATATTTTTCTATACACTGTCTTTCTTTTAAATTAGTAGTTAGCTCTGCAGGCTTGATCAGATACGGGTTTTGCTTTTTTTTCCCTCCAACGAGAATTCATGGGTAGCATTGTGTCCTACCACGAGAAAGCACAATGGCTGGTTGCATGATATTTTTATTTGAGAAAATATTATTCCAACTGCTAAATCGCAAGTTTTATATTTGTAAAAAATATTGAAATCCTCCCAGCTCAACCTTCCAAGTAGCTGGGACTATAGGTGCACACTACCATGCCCAGCTCCATTTTTCAACAAATTTTTTTTTTTTTTTTTTTGAGACAGAGTTTCGCTCTTGTTACCCAGGCTGGAGTGCAATGGCGCGATCTCAGCTCACCACAACCTCCGCCTCCTGGGTTCAAGCAATTCTCCTGCCTCAGTCTCCTGAGTAGCTGGGATTACAGGCATGTGCCACCATGCCCAGCTAATGTTTTGTATTTTTAGTAGAGACGGGGTTTCACCATGTTGACCAGGATGGTCTCGATCTCTCGACCTCGTGATCCACCCGCCTTGGCCTTCCAAAGTGCTGGGATTACAGGCGTGAGCCACCGGGCCCGGCCACAACAAATATTTTTACAAGACAAAATGGGTCCATTACATTGTCTCTATTATAATACTTTGGAATGTTTTGCCAGATTTAAATGTTGCAAAATTATAACCTTCTCGGTCTTCTCCTGGTAATGATAATACATTTATCCAATTAAAATTCAGAGCTCCACCAGAATATTCCTTCCACAAGTGGAGATATTCAAAGCCCAATAATAGAATTTCAAAATTAAATCTTGCATACTATTTGTGCTGTCATCATTCCATTTGTTTAGTTCCTCCTTTCTTTTTTGCAAAGATAAATTTCCAGTCTTTCCTTTTGCAAGTTCTATTTTCAGTAATGATAACTTTCTAGAAGCTTCAAAGAGTTCCAATGACCAAATTTGAGAGTGCGTATTTACGTAAAAGTGTATTATTGAAAGGTACGTAGGTTGATCTACATAGGCGTTTTTCAAAGGTGCAAACATTTCTAAAATCTGATGATGGGAAGCTGGGAAGACTCATTCTGCCATGTTAAAGTACTTTTAGTTTTCAATATTAGTTTCATCATGAACATTTTGTAGTTTACTAATTCTGTGTATTTATAAAAATACTTTTAAAATACTTTTAATATTAATAGCTCAAATATCGACTGGTAGAGTATTACTTCTTGTTTGGATGCAATTAAGAATTTTGTGTTCACTATGGTCTATTGCATCTTCTTGCTTTCAAAGTTCCTTAATTTACTAAGAACATTGCTTTTACTATGATGCCGTGCCTTACCAAAATTAGTAATCATTTCATCCTCTCAAAGGAAAATCTTTTTCTTCAAAGTTTAACTTTTTAAATTGAATTTGCAATAATATGGACATTAATGTCAGATGTTTTATCTTCAACAGAATGAACAT